TCCCTTATTCTCCCCTTTGTCTGCAATATTCTGTGCCAACGAAACCATGAGGCTATTTCCGTTTCACCATTCAGTTCTCATCTCAAAAGTACTTCTTCAGATAAACTTCTCCTAACTAAAAAATAATAATAATAATAATAATAATAATAATAATAATAATAATAATAATAATAATAATTAGTCCCTCATCCTATCATCCATTTTATTCTATCACTCTGTTTAATTTTTTTCTTTATGACACTTGTATTATGACTTCTGATTTTTCTATTTTCCTTTCTCTAGGATGAAAGCTATCTATAGCTATCTCTACCCTTTCACCAGAGCCTAAACAGGGCACATGGTAGACACTCAATAAAGAAGGTAATTTTCTATTTCAGCTCTAAGATGATACTTAATTGAGGAGTGGTACCAGAACTCATTTTTTGGAACATGGGTGTAAGCAGCAGTCTCCAAGATGATGCCTCCAGTGATCCCCACCTCCCGATATTTGTACTCTGTGTCTTTCCCTCCCCTTGAATGTGGCTCATTTATTGACTTGCTTCTAATGAATAGGATAAGGCGAAAGTGATAGGTTGTCACTTCTGAGATTAGGTTACAAAAAGACTGTGCTTATATCTGGGTGCCCTCTACTGCAGTCTCACTCATTTGCTCTGAGAGAATCCAGCTACCATGTTGTGAGGAGCTCACATGGCAAATAACTGATGTTTTCAGCCAAGAGCCACTGAAGACCTGAGGCTGCCAACAGCCACATGAATGAGTTTGGAAGGGATCTTTCCCAAGTCGAACTCTAAAATGACTACAGCCCTGGAGTGCAGTTTTTGAGAGACTCTAAGTCAGGACCGCTGATCTAAGCAGTACACGAATTCCTGACCCCAAAGAACCAAGAGATAATAAATACACTTTATATAAAACAATGAAGTTTTGGGAAATCTGTTACACAACTATAGTTAACAAATACAGTGGGAAGCATCTTGTGTATTGTGTATTTGGATTGTGGGAGATTATTGTGCACTCAGAAACCAGAAGAAGGAAAGGGAGTTAAAAATTTACAATAGAGAGAGGGTCATTGGATAGAAAATGGCCTAGGAAATATTGTATCTATTTTAATTACTTCTGAATTTTGCCTTATTTCCACCATTTTTTACATGCCAAGGCATTAAAAAAAAAATACTTCTCAGGTTCTCTTTCTTTCCCCAGCCACTTACTTAAATGTATGTGTAATAGCAGGACAAGGGACTAGGAATGGGGCATCATTCTAAAGAAACTAGAAACATTTATTAGATTAGCCAATAAACAGTAATGCCTCAGCTGGGAGCTTGTTATAAATGCAGACTCTCAGGCTGGAACCCAGACCAACAGAATCGTTATTTTCATCTTCACACATCCCCAGATGGTCCTTATGCCCAGTACTGTTTGAGAAGTGGTGCC